GACCTATATTTGTATACAGCCAACGGCACTGGGTGGGTGATATTGTCATTGTTTTTTCAAAGTCTGGCTCCATTCGGATTTGAATCCATGACTTTTGAATCCACAGGTGAGCATCTAGCTACAACACTGCGGCGGTTCACGATTGAGAACCGAATCGCCGTTTTTGCCATCTTGCTGCTACCTACAGATTTTACATCCTCTGCGCCTCAACAGCTTTTATACTGAACGGCAGGCCAGGAGGGTTAACACCAAGTTCAACCCTCTGTTATAGGTAGCCGTCATGTCTATATCTCCTACGACATGGTGAAACTGCTATCAAAGGCAGCTAGACGATGATATTGGAATGCACTGACAGAAAAATAAATTCTTTTTTTTCTTCTTCTTTTTCTTTCGTTCGCTTGAAATAAATTATCTGCAATGTAGTCTCTTGTATGAACTTCACTGTTTTTTGTGATTCACACAGCGACCTATAGAGTTTGACTTGTACCAATGTTTCTCTTGGTCAAATGTTTTGCCTTGATATGTTGTATTTGGGGCATTCTTGGTGGACATGATCTGTTGTCTCAGGTGCCAATCCACATGTGCACATGGCTGTTTCGCAGATTTTAAATTGTGTATACATGTCGCTGCGAAGTCGATTGTGTCCTGTTCTAAGGTGTAGCATAATAACTTGCTCTGGTCTGTCCATAAAATGGTAAACCTCTTGTTCTGGTTTTGGTGGCTTATTATTAGGTGAAAACCCTGAAATTTCTGGGCTTCTTCTTCCTCTTCTTCTTAATGTTCTTACTTACTTACATACTTACTTAGTCGCTCCTCTTCTACCTTGGGGTGTAGAGGTTTGCCAGAGAGATCGCCAGACGTCTCTATCAGCAGTTTTCTTTCTGGCTTTGTTCCATTCCAGTCCTCTATCAGTTAGGGACTGTCGGATGTTGTCTTCCCAGCGGACCCCTCGCTTCTCAGAAAAATGTATTCCGAAAGAAACACCCCTAATTAGTCGGCTTTTACGACATGCTTTTTATAGGGCAGTGGGTCTATCATCTTCGCCCCCCCCCCCCCCCTTTTCCACCACCACCACAATTACAACTAGAAAAGTTGATTCGAAAGATGTCAGTGGAATACAAAAATAAAAAGTCAATAGCTAAATGATTAAAAAAAGTAAAGTAAAGAACCCTTTTCCACGCCTGTAGGCATATAGGGCTAGATCTATATTTTATAGACCAATCGGCACAAAATGGGTGATGTGGTCAGCATCACGCCCCTCGCCTTTACTTGCCGAGACCGCATCCGGTACCCACTCAAGGCTGTGTCGACCTGGGATCTAAGGTTATTTTTGACAAAAGTCCGGCTCCGCCAGGGAGCGTACCCACGACCTTCTGATCAGCGGCGAGCGTCTAGCCGCTCCGCCACGGCAATTCCCAATAGCTAAAAAATGTAGCAAAATAGCGTAGCCAGATAAAGAGTGATGAAACATGTGAACGAATTAAATAATCATTCAAGAACTGACATCACTGCACTAGATACATTCCACCATTGCATGTCCCCTTCTTCAGTAGCCAGTGGTAATATTGGTAGTTATGTATGTCTACTACATTTGGCCTCGTGTACTTTCAATCAACTCTGATACAGTCGATCTTCCATGCCAAAATGTCAAACTCTCCAGCATCTTTTCTCTCTGTCTCCCTCTGCCTCTCCTCCTCTCGAACTTTCCCACAGTCACGATGCACCCCAGTTTTCTCCTTTTCATCACATGACCAAAGAATGTAGATTGTATCCTCCTTATGTGGGCAATGATTTTATTCGTTTACAAATGTTGTATTTGTTCAGATATACTAATATATTATTTAACATTCTGCACATTGCTATTGTTGTTGTCGTTGTTGTTGTTATTATTATTATTATTACATTACACTCGTAAACAAAGCATAGGTTCCTTAAATACACCCTCTCTAATCCTATTGTTTTAGACAGTTCCCGAGGATGTGACTGCAAAAAACGTTTCCGTAACGATGTCTGTTTATTTTCTTCAGCTCATCCCCTTGTTTGTGCTGAAGACAATGGGAGACTTTCCCGGACTGCCTGGATTGTTTGTAGCTTGTATTTTTAGTGCCTCCATCAGGTACGTCTGTGCTGTCTGTAAGTGTGAGTACATTTGTTAAAGTAAACTGAGGACCATTTCCACCCCAATTAGCATTCGATTAGTGATTCAGTGCGTATGCTCAGGAAGATATAGAAGGGCTGGATCTGAAGACAGTGGCTGAAGTCTCTAAAGCAGTTGGGGCGGACACATATCAGTTTCATATTTATACCAGGGCATGGAGGCGTGTAAGGAAATGAACAAGCTGATCGGCTTGCAGGTAAAACTACTGTGAAGGGCGGACAAAGCTGATATTCTGATGGCTCTACGAGAAATAAGACGTTTGCGAGAACCAAGTGATGACGGTGAATCTGCAACCATGACCAGACTGCAAGAACGACATGTTAAAAGATGTGTGGTCAGACAAGAGCGCTGTGCAGGAAGCCAAAGAAGAATAAGAAACCAACACAGAACTAGCGTCGTGAGCCGCTGCACGCAGCGGGATTTACTAAGGAGGGGATCCGGGATCATGGACTGAATGGTTCCATGTGCAATGAGGATAATCTGTCGATGAACTAACTGATTAGCATTCGATGGGGGATGGGGTCAACATCATACTCCTCATGATTGTCCTTTTGTGCGATTATATGTCACAAAGGGCTCGCAGTCTAATCCTCCATTAAGTTCTGTCTTGTAAAATCCCTTCGATATCGTGGATACAACCTAGTTCAGCACCTGCTGTCTCTCTCATCATTGTTAGTTTTAAGGTTTCTTTTGGGCGTCTTTGGTCACTAAATCCTTGTATTTTAGGGAGCTTCGTGGTCTCGAGGCATGGTGTTCGCCTCGGGTCATAGAGATTCCGGATTCAATCCCCGGTAAGGGGTAGGATTTTTTCACGTGGACTTGGACTTCTAGTAATTCCCCCTGGTCTCTGGGTCGTAAGATCCCGAAACCCGTGTGCATTGTTGCGCACGTAAAAAAAATCCCTTGGAAGTTGGAAATCAAAAAGAGTAGCCTAACGGCGCTGCCCAGGCAAACTTTGGAGTTAAAAATCTGCCCAAATTATTTCAGGATCCTCGCCGGTGATAGAGACCCTGTGCACTGTGCTGAGCATTCTCAGACACATACTTGAGTTAGAAGAAGAACGATGCACTTATGAGTTACTACCGTGTGCCATGATGTGAATCCGTTGTTCAAAACGCTAACCTCATTTTATCTTATTTCTAAGTACCTGCTTGTTGAAATTCTGCTCGAATCTTCTCAGGAATCAACCCCATACCGGGGAGTTTTCCAAGTGCATATTATGCACCTCTTTTTATAATATGTCAACCTAGGCATGGTGGGATATTAGTTTCTTCTTCTTATTTTGCCGCCTCACTGAAACCAGTTTGTTGTCCAGTGTCGTGGTTTCCTGTATTTTATTTGTCTTACGCTTCTCGGGTGGCTTGAGTGATGGATGATTTGTTCATCTTTTGGCAGTTTTTAGCTACACCATTAGTGCATCTCTTTCCTTGTCTTCCCCTCGCCTTCCTCCCAGAAATTCTACTGTAAAAAGTCTTATATACTGTTTGATATGGCTGCATTTTTACTAGATGGCTGACATTTTATTCTTTCTCTGTCAATATAATTCAGGTGTGGTCTAATTCCAACTTCTCTCTAATGCTGGTATTCGTAACCCTGTCTCATCTTGTGTTGTTGGTGACCTTACGGAAACTTCGCATTTCACATGCGAAAACAAAACAAGAACCACTCACTTGTATGTGGATTTGAGCCCAAAACCTTTGAACTTCACTTCAGTGTCAGTGTCATGCCAGGAGCCTTTACTTCTCGGAATTTGTCCTGCTCATCTTTTTAAGCTAGATCCACATAGGTAACCAAATCACCTCGGTGAAGATTCGAACTTATGACCAAATGGCCTGCAAGCCAATCGTGCTAGCCTCTGCGTTATTATCGCTCCCCAGACAAAATCCATTTTTGGGCCAGCTATGCCTACGGCACACGAGGCTAGACCAGTGCCGAGTTTAGGTATAAACTAATTAGACAAGATCATGGGGCCTCACAATCTGTAGGGCCTCGAAATAAATCCTAGCATCCATTTTTTCCTAATGTGGCTTCTGTTGAATGTCGGATATTGAATTAAGAATCGACATCCCACCACTCGGGACACTCCCATAAGTGCTCCATCCCCATCTTTAGCAACAAGCGAAAAGTTCCAAACCCGTTGGTACCGGTAACAGTCTGATTGTACATCTGTCTCCCGCTTCTCCCTGAGTGTCGAGCGTCAGCTAAATCCCCTGGTAACGCTTCGCAGCGCCATTTTCCTTAGGCCTTATTGATCCATTTGTGCCTCGGCACTGTTCACTCGCTCCCAAAGGGCACTTACAACATCTAGTTTGTCATACATCAATTGACCATCAAGTGGTGCTGAACCAGCCAGTCTATCTGCCTACTCGTCTGGCAATACACCGGCATTCATGGAAAAATATCCAAAGGACTCTAACTACCTGGCACCTCCGATGCGACGATGCTCGCCACTATGTACATATCATGCCTGTCTGCACTTTTCTTAACATACTCAGGGAGTCAGTGACCACACGTGTGTTCAGCTAATTCTCAGTCCAGCCAAAGGAAAGCACCAATGGCTTCTTTATGCATCAAATGCAGTTGCTGTGTGTGTGTGCGTGCGCGTGTGTGTGTATGTGTGTGTTGCCATGCGCAGTCACGCATGGTCACGGGAAACTAAACTTTTCTGAACATTTTGAATTGCCAGATGTGTATATCGGTTCTTCTTTTATAAAAGCGGTTTAAAATCCCACCCAGTTATTTTTGTTGAAGACACACACATACACACACATGCACACATACATACACACACACATGCACACACACATGCACACACACATACACTCACACATACACTCACACA